AAAAAGCCTTCCTCCTTGTTGGTTCTCATTTGAATCTAATTAGTAAAATGGAATTTATGGATTTTGAATCAATGAGAATTTTATAGAGTTCCGATCTTGTTGGTCATTTTGTTTTGGTTTAAATCTTAGTGTCAAAAGATTTTTTTTTTTCAAAAGTAACAAATGTTGGTCTTTTGTTTTCTCGAGTCTTATACTTTGAGAATGAGTTAAATTAGTGGATCTTCCTATCATTGGACTTTCCATGATTCTTGACTTGAGTTTCAAAACTTTCTTTATCATTTGATGAGGAATGAATTTTAGTGATATCAATTTTTGGTATTAAAGTGTTTAAAGGTCTTTGAAGTTGAATTGTGCCAACTTTAAGGGTTGAAGTCTTTGACTTGTGTTCAAAACCTTGATTTTCGAAAACTGAATCGAGAATTAAGTGAAGTTTTACTAAAAAGATTTTCTTATTTATGACAAGAAATCTTATAGGCTTTGAGATATATTCTTGAAGTTTACATATTTGGTCTTTGAAAAATTTGATTTTCAAATGGTCACTTATGAAGATGGCATTGTTGAGTCATTGAGTTTTAAGAATGATTTGTGTTAAATTGAGTATTATGAAGCAAATGTCATAGTTGAATGAGGAACTTTAATTCCTACTTTATTATACTTACGGTGTTCTTGTTACTTTATTTGCCATAGATTGTTTTGGTAAAAAGTGATTTTTGTTAATTCCAAGTACAATTTGGAAAAGGGTTTTTAGAAAGATTCTAAAAGTTGTTGTCCATTTTTGGAAAGTGGTAATTTTAAGTTTCCTTTTTAAGTGAGTCAAAAGTAATTTTTCAAATTTTAACTATGTGGTAAAACGTTAATAGCCGAATTTTTGCTGACTTATTGCATGTGTGTGCATGTGATTTATGTGGAATTCTAAGCCTAGTTGGTTTTGAATTTTAGAGTCATAGTATAGCCAAAATTGTGAAGCTAAAAATTAGGGTTTCCTAGTCCTAGTTGAACTTGAATTTTGAGTGTCTATTTTGTTACACTTGGAGACCTATTTGGTCTTGTATTTGTGTGTTCACATGACCAAAAATTTTAGCCCTAAAATTAAGGTCATTGAGTCCAAATTGTGTTATGATTTGAGTCCTATTCGGTTTTGGATTTTTGTGTTCACATTGGCCGAAAATTTGCAGCCATTGTTTCCTAATTGTAATACAATTTTATTGTGTGTTTTATTTGAGTCATACTTGGATTTAAATATTGCTTCACTTTCCAACTTCTATGCCTACCATAACCGCTTCACTTTCCAACTTCTATGGCTCGAATTAGATTGCTGTGAACGCGGCAGAGGTAATACATGTGGGATCCATCCCCTAAATCACTCCATTCCGGCATGTGTGACATTGCGCTCAATATCCCAGCGTTTCGGTCGGATTACACTAACAGTTCTATCCTGCACAACATGCTACCTCAAATTCCTCATGAAAAACGTCCAACTTTCAGTAGTCAAGTCATCCACAATCGCAAATGCAACCGGTAAAATGTGTTTGCTTGTGGTATGTACCATCGTAACTAGCAACTTACCCTTGTACCCTCCACGTAGGTGTGTTCCATCAATACAAATCATTGGCGGACATTCACGAACATCGCATCCACTGGTGCGAACGATAAAACACGTATTTAAATGTTCTATTTTCCATGTGCCAACCAGCTTGTTCTTCCTTCCATTCCCACTATATTATAGTGTCGGGATTAGTACTATGAAGCATTGCGATATACCTACACATCACATTTGTCCGAGTTAAAAGATTTCACTACATATAACCAAAAAAAAAATTGACTATTATAAAAATTGATACTTACCTGGGAGGTTCTTCAAAATTGGAGGACCAATGGCTGTAGACTGCTTCTATGACTTTCCTCCTTCTGTTCCATGCCCTCTTGTATGAGACATCTACGGATTGTAAGTCCTTCACATCCTTCATGACTGACTTTACCGTGTAATCTACGTTGTCCTCAATCTTTTTCATGATGAGTCTAGCAATCAACGCCGAGACCATATACCGATTGTCATTATCGTTTACTACGTCATGCAATTGTGTTTTTCGTGCCATCTCACTATTTGATGCAAGCCGTGCTCTTTCAGTGACATGCACATCTTCTATTTACATTCAGGTTGGTGTTCTTCACTTGGAAAATGTAAAGTCTTGCACCGCATCGAACACATCGTTGGCTTACACGCGACAATCCTAAACTCCCTCTTACAATGGATGTTCTATAACTTCACAACATGTTTTGCTTCTGCTTGGGACTTGAAACATACTCCAAACTTCATCCCCTCGGGGGTCTCATCCCACATCTCAAGACCAAATTCATCCTTGTCCATACATTAGAAATCCCATTTACCCATTTGTTTTTATACATGGTGCGTTTGTAATGGATTTATCTCTCTTTCTTCATTTACCATCATCATCACTTTCCTCCTCATCACTATCTGAAGAGAACTCACGGTCTTCCGGACTCATGCTTGGAGCTATGTAGTCGGAGTCGTCCTCTTTCATGTAATCATCTTGTGCCCTCTTTTTCATGAACTCGCAAAGTACTTGCTAGTTGTCGTCTACTTGTCTCTTCATGAATTTGAGAAGAACTAGCCCTTTCCGACTTGGAACACTAGCCTCATTATTGTTTACAAGAACCGCATCTCTTTCTTCACGAGTGATATCCTTTGAGTCTATGTACAAATCAAAAAATAACATCGGGTTGAGGCGATACATGATCTCTACATGTGAATCATTCTTTATCTTCGCGATACGCCTATCACTGTGATTCTCCAAAACCAAAGAAATAAAGTGGAGTTTCACATGTCCTGGATCCCAACCAAATGTCATATAATCATACTAACCAATTCGGCGTATGACAACCTACTATCAACAAAAATAGTGTTGTCTAGCTCATTCGCAAATGAGTTTACTCCATTCTCTATCACATACTTGTATGGAACAAATTAAGTATGTATAGCCCGTTAAATGCCATTGTAACTGTATATTAAAAAAAACAAAGATCGTCAATGTCTAAACATTTCTTAACCAAATGCCAAATACTTATTATTCCTTCTATTACTCAATTACATCGCATAATATTGAACTAGACCCCTGAAATAATATTCTATACATCATAAAATAGCATGATCAACGTTAAATAATCATATATACCCACTAAATCAAAACTATATCACACATATATCATTAAGCGGTTTGTTTCTCTCTCTCTTTTTTTTTTAATTTTTAAATATACTTCATTCTAACAACATCGGCAATTTCTCACCTATAATCTCTATAACAACATCCACAATACACATATTTCATTCCGACTTCCAAAAAATCAAATTCATAAACCCTAAATCACTTTTAAATCTTTCAAACCATAGAAAAATAAGAAAAAATAAAAAAAACCTCAAAATATAATGAACAACCTTGATTTCTCCCCTATAAACTCAAAAACAACAACTACAATACACACTTTTCAGTCAAACTTCCTAATAATCAGAATCATAAACTCTAAATCTCTAAAATTTTTCAAACCATGGAAAAAAACACAAAAAACTCAAAATATAATGAACAACCTTGATTCTCGCCTAATAACTCAACACCAACAATTACAATATACATATTACATTCAAATTTTGAAATAATCATAAACATCAACCCTAAACCACTAAAATCATTAAAACCATAGAAAAAAATAATAATTTAAATAACATCAAATTTGAAACTAATCTCGTTAGGTGATAGCAATCTAGAAGATGAACCTAATTTTGTTAAAGGAACCATCATCAAGAAAGTACCAAAAAGATGTTTAAAAGTGAAACTATTAAAGAGTGCAGAAATTCACGAATAAACTAGACCGTTGAAATAGAAATCCACTATCTTATGAACTCAAACAAAGCTCAAACACAAAATCCTAATAATTACCTGGATTGAATTACTTAATCTTATAAAAAGATGAAACCCTTCAATATAATCGAACAATCACCCGTATAATTAACGATAAATGGTATGAGCAAATCACTCACTTACCTACAACAAACAAAATAAATATATATGCTATATTGGTAAGGACACTATCATAACCAAGGCAATAAGCAATCAAAAAACACATTATTCATCATGTTATTTCCATGCAAACTCGTCTATATCAAATAGATAAACCAACAAGGTATCCTAGAACCCTAGGACACAAAGAATTTGAGAAAACCAAGCAATCAAACATGCTCAACCTATCGACCTTCATATCAAAAGATGTTAAGAAAAATAAGTTTTAAAACAATTAAATCATGCAACACATAAACATGATAAAACGGTTTAACTCAAAGAACCAAGTCACACATTAGGCTCTAAGAAAGAAAGAAAGAATTAACCATTCTTCTCCTTCAAAACAATAAGAAACGCTCATTGTTTAAGAAAAAACACAAAGGGCTCAAATCAATTTATTTGATTCAATAACTCATAATTTTCGATACACACTTTTATGAGAGGATTCGGCCACCTTATATAGGCAAGCTTCCTCGCTCTCCAAGACAAAATTCCTACTATTTAGCCTTTACGTTAGGCCAAAGAAACTCTACTTTCATTGTACTACTCGATCCAATTCACAGAAAGGAAACACGTAGTCAATTTTGACTCAAACTCTAACTAAACTTAACCATCAAGCAAAGTAATTAACTTTACTTCTTTTAATAGTAAAGACTATTCTACCCTTAATGAAATACTCTCTAGGGCTGGCTATACATTAACCTTTAAACCCTAATTTATGAAAACCCTAGGACTCCCTCTCGGCCGCCCTATTGAAGTTACCTTTATGGTAAAATTTTTATTTTAACTCGAAGTAAATAGAATTATTATTTATTTACGGACTCAAATATAATTTAAATAAATATTTAGATATATTTCCCGCGCAGCTCTTCCTCTTCTTTGGCGCGCACGACTCCATTCAAATCTTCAACTTCAATTTGATGTTTTCTACACACTTGAATGTGTATCTTCAATCTCTTCAAGACGCTTGCTCTTTGGAACAAACTCACTTGCATCAATATCTTGGACATCACTTGAGTCTTCATCACTTGAATCATTCCACTTGCTAGGGAAATCACCACTTGACTCCTCAGACACTTGTTGATGATTAAGCGATTTTCCTTCAACCTCATTGTTCCCACTAGAAGGCGTTGGTGAATACTCCTTCAAAGAAGTCCAAGTCCTCACAGCAAACTTTCTTCTATTCTTAAACGGAAACAACCTTGGACCACCAACTGACAAGAACACCTTTTGCTTCTTCATTTAATGTTGACTTCGATGTCAAGCTATATGATTCTCATCCCTCCCATTGTTGCAAAGGATTCGTCCTCGAATCAAGACTTACATCTTTACCTACAAAATGAAACAAAGATAAATCATGGTTAGCATCGAGTGTTCCTCCTACACCACCACTCGATTCACCCTCCTCGAATGTACCTTCCTTTTTATTTTGTTATACATCCTTCACTTTGCACAATGCTCTAGCAAGCTCACGTCTCTTAAACATGATATGCTCATTCTCCCACGGTGATAATGATCTCAATTCCACCAACCTATTCTCATGATCTCGATATGAGAACACATTCAATGAACCAACAATGACCATTCCCAACTTCTTAATGAAAGGTAGACTCAAGACAATGTCACACGCCGTCATAGGTACAATATCAAGCGACTCACTCGAAACAAGATCCCCAATGCGAAGATCTACCTTAACACTTTGAGTAACGTTCAATTCCATTCCACCATGCAACCAACGTTATTTGTAAGGTTCACTTAAGTCATTCACCTCCAAGTGATTAACTCTAACAAACTCTTCACTTATACAATTGGTGCTACTACCCCCATCAATAGCCACAATCAAATTTTCAACCCAATCCATTGCACCTATAGTACGAAAGGCATGATCTACGTTTGACTCAACACAATGTGGAGTATATTTCAAAGCAACACCTTGTTCTCTCAAATTATCATTACACTTCTTCCAAATAGCCCTATTCTTTCGCAATTCCAACAACATAACTCTTTGATATGCACGATATAAATCTTTCTCTCCCGTCACAGACACATCATCTTTATAACAAGAATTCAAGCCATTCAAGAATCTCATAACTAACACTTCATTCAAGTCATTATTATTACCATTCAAGCACAACTCCTCAAACTTAGCAATATAAGACTCAACATCCATGTCACCTTGAACAAGTTCATACAATTCAACTTGGGTTTCATAAACAATGTCACTACTCTAAAACCTATTGTATATTGCTTCTTTAAATCGTATAAAATCGTACCAAGTATGCTCACTTTCATCTATATTACACAAGTATAGCACACTCCAATTCTTAGCTATATTTCGCAAAACCTTGGATAGCAATAGAGATCTTAACACCATCCCTAGTCACATTAAGCAATTCAAACAAATTCTCAATAGAATTAACCCAAGATTTCACCCCTTCACAAAACCCACCATAGAAATTTGGAATTTCAACCTTTAACTTACCAACACATGCAGAATCCTTCATTGCATCCATTCAATAATTTGCCTCAATAAAACGTTGGATCAAATCTCGTTGCATAGACTCGATCTCCTTGAAGATGCCCCTACTCAAACCTTCATGCTCTTGCTTAAAGTTTTGAAACTCTTGTTCCACACAAAGCATCTTTTCACTAAAGTTCACCAGTTGCTTGTTGACAACCTCATCATGAACTCCGATGTCACCCACTTCACAGCTCTTCAAATATGCTTCCAATTCTTTCACTCGCGCTTCAATGACACGGCATGGACAACACATCTTCGACTTAGCAATCTCTTCACTCATGATGATGAGCAAAAAATTACTTTCGACAAGAAAACTCACTTGGATTTTTGATGATAAATCCGAGAACCCCCCTCTCGAATCAAAGGAAGATACGAAAATTGACACTCCCCAACTAACTAGTAAAAACTCTCGTCACCTTTAAGAGGTGATCTCTCTCTCGAGAAGAAAAGAGATGGTTTAGTTACTCCTTCAAACTTAAGACCTTATGCAAGTTTTAGCTCAAAGATCAAAAAGAAATTTGGAGGTTGGGATGTATGAAAAATTCGACCAACACACCCCTTTATATAGGCAAGAGATGGCTTTTCCTGTAAGGACTTTCCAATTAAAAATAGGCTTAGCTTTTAGGCAATTCTCCTATTTTAATAATTCAAAATTTCCGAATTAATAAAACCCTAAATAATTTCCAAATTTTCATTCGAAAATTAACACACAATTCGGCCGAAAATATTTTAAAAACAGCAATTTTAATAAAATATTTTACTTAATTTATAAGACTCTAAATTTTAGAAAACTTTATTTAAAAGAAAACCCTAATTCCCTAATTTTACTTCAGCCGAAAAAAGACACATAAATAAATAAGTATCATACCTTAATAACTTTTAGGAAACTCCTTTAATTCTCCTCCTATTATATAGGTAATTAACAAATAAAACCAATTTTCTTTTGGTATTTCCAAAAAAAAGAAACACGGCAAACACACAGATTCACACAAGCAAAAATTTCTTTTCTCACTCAAAATAGAAATCAAAATTTCAGCCACTCGACAATTAAGTAACCCTCGAATTTTATTCAATTAAAATCAAGGAAAAAAACTTTTAGTTAAATACTAAAAACCCTCTTTCAATCATGTAATTGAAATTCAAAAATACTAATCATGCATTCAAGCAATTTTATTTCATCTACCAAGTTTAAGAAACTCAACAAACGAAAACCACATAAATCACATAGACTCAAAAAATCTAAGACCTAATTTTCGAAAATATTTTGTTTAAAAACACTTAAAACAATATAAATTAGATACTTTTAACACAAGCAATCTCCAAAGTACGTCATGAAAACTCTTATACGTGCAAACCCTAGAGTAAAAACTCTAAAACTCATATCTCGTTCATATGTTTCAACAAGAATTAAATTACATTCACATAAAAGATAAACTCTTGAAAATCAAATTCCAACCCAATGAAAAATCTAATCTCCACAAGAAAGGTCACGTTATTCTTTGAAAAAAGACTTCAAACAATTAATCACTAACCCAAAAGTTCAAAGAACACATTGATCTCTTTAAATTACCTTGCACACATATTGAATTGAAAAGTTTTAGAAAGCTTCAAATCAAACCACACAGGAGTCGACGAACAACCCGACAAGGAAGTCGACGAAAACACACACAAGTCGACGAGAAACTCGACAAGAAAGTCGACGAAGACACTTCACATAACACATTAGGTCGAAACTACACTAATTCGACACAAGACTCAATCTAATAAAACATAATAGCGATTATGGACGTCTCATTGATTGAAACACCACAGACCCTAGATTTTACTCTTCTCCAATTCATAAGAACTAAAGTCAAGAAGGAAAGATCATCACTTCCATACACTAGGTAGTATACTTTCATGAATACTCCACCTTTGAAATTCATAGATCATAAATTCAAAGAATCCTAGACCTATACACACGCACACACTGGCTCATGTATGCATAATCTCTCTAAAAAAGGTAAGGCTATGCACTTTCGCTTTTGGCATCAAACCCTAAATCAATTAATCATAGTACACATAAGTTCCAAGTCACTTGATCATGAAGAAATCAATCTCCAATCTCAACCTCAAAGGAAATCTCGAGCGAAAACCTCCTTGAATCAATTGTTTACACAACTTCAACAAGACTCACTAATTTCTCGAAACCAAAACACTCAAAAATTCATCTTAAAGCAATACCTAATTTTCGCACCAAATATTCAATAAAGAAGAATTTATGAAATTGTAATTTGAATCTAGTTTGATTTACTTTTACTTTTCTCAAAACTCTTTTCGAAAACAAAAAGAACCTTAATCAAAATAAAAGATAGTCCCACCAATTCTAGCTCATTGCTAGGATTTCGAACCATATTCCAAAAGGAATTGGATATCTTCTCAACCTTTGATCTGATACCAAAAACTGATAGCAATCTATAAGATGAATCTAATTTTGTTAAAGGAACCATAATCGAGAAAGTACCAAAAAGATGTTTAAAAGTGAAACTCTTAAAGAATGTGGAAATTCACAAATAAACTAGACCTTGAAATAGTAATCCATTGTCTTATTAACTCAAACTAAGCTCAAACACAAAATCCTAATAATTATCCGGATTGAATAACTTAATCTTATAAAAAGATGAAAACCTTCAATATAATCGGACAATCACCCATATAATTGACGATACATACTATGAGCAAATCACTCACTTAATTACAACAAACCAAACAAATATATATGCTATATTGGTAAGGACACTATCATAACCAACGCAATAAGCAATCAAAAATACATTATTCATCATGTTATTTCCATGACTCATCTATATCAAATAGATAAACCAACAAGGTATCCCACAACCCTAGGACACAAAGTAATTAACTTACTTCTTTTAATGGTGAAAGACTATTCTATCCTTAATGAAATACTCTCTAGGGCCGGCTATACACTAACCTTTAAACCCTAATTTATGAAAACACCAGGATTCCCTCTCGGCATGGTAAAATTTTTATCTTAACTCGAGGTAAATAGACTTATTATCTATTTACGCACTCAATAATAATTTAAATAAATATTTAGATATATTTCCCGCGCAACTCTTCCTCTTCTTTGGCGCGCACGGCTCCATTCAAATCTTCAACTTCAATTTGATGTCTTTTACACACTTGAATGTATATCTTCAATCTCTTCAAGACACTTGCTCTTTGGAACAAACTCACTTGCATCAATCTCTTGGACATCACTTGAATCTTCATCACTTGAATCATTCTACTTGCTAGGGAAATCATCACTAACACTTGTTGATGATTAAGTGATTCTTCTTCAACCTCATTGTTCCCACTAGAAGGCATTGGTGAATACTCCTTCAAAGAAGGCCCAGTCCTCACATCAAATTTTCTTCTATTCTTAAACGGAAATAAACTTGGACCACCAATTGACAAAAATACCTTTTGCTCCTTTATTTGATGTTGACTTCGATGTGATGCTTCATGATTCTCATCATTAGGATAGTGATTCTTCATACATTTAGAGATGATCTATGGAAAAAGACAACGAGGTGCAGCTTAGTGGTAAGACGTCTCACCTGTTGACCCGTGGGTCACGTGTTCGAGTCACGCCGGGGGTAAGTGGCAAACCACTATTGATCCCTTCAAAAAAAAAAAAAATCTATGGAAAAGAATTGAAATTCGTCTGCTGAAACTGTCCAGAAGCTCAAAATTCTCGAAATCCCTAAATAGAACAATGGTTTTTTTTTATTATTTTTTTATTTTTATGTCATGCTCAAATTCAAATGTACATGTGTTTCGGATTTGGCAAATCCGACCAAATACAAAACAGGTCAAAATTGGCTGATTTTAGGTCCTCCAATTTATGATCTTACCAACCGAAATTAAATAACATCGGATTTCGGAAAACTTAAAACACGTAATCCGGATTTGTGATATCTGAATCCCTTGCAGAACTTTTTTAAATTTCGCACGCCTAATTATATTTTTTTAAAATATATATATTTGATAAAACCAGTCTGATTTACCAGATCCGAGGGCCATTGTGCAAGTTTTTGACCGGTTTTTCATTTTTTCCTAAAATTTGAAAAATGTTATGATTTTAAAATTAAACTAGATTAGGATTTCAGAAATCCGAGTTATATAATTTTATTAAGCATTCGGATTTCGCAAATCCGGAACTACATTTTGTCCACATAAAATAGTATAAAATTATTTTTGTCTATATTTATTTTAACATAATTTTTTTGGGCGAAGCACCCTATCATTTTGAACCTGATAAAATGCTCTTAAAAATAAAGGACTTATATCATAAATAATCTGGTTCAGGAGGTTTAGTAAGTAATTTCTTAAAATTGGATTAAAAACCCTTGTCCTCCCTTCATTTCGTCCTCATCCATCGGAAATTCCAAACCGCCGCCGTCGCAAAAGCCCATACCAGCAGGATTTTTCCGCCGATTTAACCTCAAATCGATTCCAATCTCCTCCGTTCATCCTACTCTTGGATTCATCAGAAGGAAATAGAAAAAAGAGAAGGAAAAGTACGAAAAAAGAGCAAAAAAATTCCGGAGCTTGCACATCGGAGAGAAACCCACACAGGCTTTAATTGAAACTCGGAGCGGAAAGGAATTCAAGAAGTAGGCTGCAGTGGGGGTTATGATGGAATTTTCCCTTGTCATGGATGTGGTATGATTTTGTTCAGTATTATTTTTCAGTTGAAGCATGTAAAGTTAGGATGTTTGGGGGCGTTTAGGATTTTGTTCGTTTGGTTATTCCATTGGTAATATGGGAGAAAATTTATGCGGGCAGACTTTATGAACTCCCATTGTTATTTTAGCTGAAGTTTTAGCTTAGGCAGGATGAGATTCCTGATGTAAAACCTGTGATACTTCTGAGTATTTTGATACATGCCTATTTGAGGTTGTAGAACATAAAACTTGAGTGTGTTTTGGTGTTTCAGGTTTTGGGCCTTCAATGGTGTTCTTCTTATTGAATTATGTCTTCTTATTATAGGATGTAGGTTGTGATCACTGACTCAAAAACTGAGATCTTTTTGGTTTCTGAGACTGTTTCTGAAATTCCCGTTTTATTGTGTTATTAATACATTTATAAATGTATGTTAGAACTAAAGAAAAGATCCAAACATTTGTCAGAAGAGGATAAAGGAAAGGAATGATTACTATTAAGGGTGTGATGAGATTGAAATCTCTTAGTGGGGATGTTCGATATTTTACAGGGGCGAGTATCCTCCATGCGATGTCGGCTCCTTGCATTTACTGACAGAGATAATTATTTCAGAGCCTCTATTAATGATGCATTGCTTCTTGACCTTTCGCATTCATATTAGCAGTCTCCTGATTAAGCTAGTGGGCCTATTTTCTGAATGCTTGAGTTCTTCTGGAGATACCTATGAAGGTGGAATAAAAACAAATGTCGAGTACTGAGGAAAATAGTGGAGCTTTTGCGAAAGGGTATCTAACCAAGTGGTGAAGGTTATGAAGAGGGTTCGTGAGTAGCAGGATCGAAGTAAAGCATGGTCACGGGAGGGAGTTTATGTCGTAAAGGGACCAATAACGTGCCAATAAAAACTTTTCTTTCAGGACTAAGGAGGGTAGAGTCCGAGTTTTGAGCGTTATTAGGAAAAACAAATCAAAGTTTCATTTAGAACTGGACAAGGGTAGGCGAATACCTCTCTCTCCTACAATAACAACATACCTAGTATATTCCCACCTTAATTGGTGTCTATTAAAATTGTATATATTATATTAAATTTTTAACTTAACTGGCATTATGAAATTCTAACTCTCGACTGTAATTAAGACCTGATAAGCATTATTTGGAGATTAATTTGTACTTCAGAATCTGACCGGATACTTTGGAAGCTGATTGAGCCAGTTGCTCATCGTGGGTCATAGTTTCTGGCCTTTGCATTTGTTGAGGCTGCAGCAGTTTCCTCATGTTAGGTTATGCTGAATATATGGCTTCTTTTGAGTCCTAGCAAGTTAGGGTTTCTTTTGTTTGCTGTAAAGTGGAGTTTGAGAGGTTCAGACAAGAAAGGAAAGCAGAAATAGAAAATTTGTCTTTTGAGGGAAGGATAAAAATTGCTATCTGAAATATATTTAAAATTAAAATAATCAAATTTCTGTATGCCTGTAAAAGGAATTTTTAAATTCCTAATGCTATTCACAAATTTAATTTATTGCAATGCTAAAATAAATTTTCCCCTAAAAAAGGGAAAGGAAGAATTGCTGTCTCGTAAGGACTTTTTTAAATTATCTTATGTTGTTGGAATCTGTTCAATATTTTTTCATGAGTTAAGAGAAGACACAATGCTACATGTTGAGGTACTTGAGGGTCTCCTGGGGACTTTAACATGCACGCTTTTGTGATACCGTCACTAGGATATAACCATCTGGCTGCATCTTTAAAAGATTTTTTATGAGATTATATTTCTATTAGTGGTTAGGACCACCTCATCATGGTTAAAGTGATGTAGTGACTTCTAGGAATTCATTCATGATACATCTTTTCAAGGGCTTACTGTTTCATAGTGATTCTGAATTTTGGATTTCATATGTACCAAAATTCTGAACAACTTAATGATAAAAGTTCGAGGATATATTTATTTCCACTCTTCACCATAATTACCATATTCTAATCTTTTTGGTCGTCTTTTGCAATATCAGCTAATGTGAGTAGTAGCTGATATGGACATGCAGCAGCATATGTAATTAGGACAAGATATGGACATCTATGCTACCAATCCTGGGCCAGTGGATGATTCTGTCCTGTATGATCAAGATAAACATGTCTCAGCTGCAATTTGGGAGGGTCAGGTGATTACTGGATCAAATCATTTTTATTTGTTTCTTTTTATCTTCTTTCTTCTGCCAGTTTATTTTGTATTGTTGTCCTCACCAAATTATAATTAGCAGGAGCGAGGTGCACTCAGATGCCATGAGCATACTTCTAAGTTGGATAGGTGGGTTCTTACTGATAAGCAGATTGAGCTGGTAAAGAAGGCTGGTTTTGGTTTCTTGAGGTTAATTCCTGCAATTAGTTTGGACAATCCACTTATCTCTGCTCTAGTTGAGCGATGGAGAAGAGAAACAAACACATTCCATTTCACTGTTGGAGAGATGACGGTGACTCTTGAAGACGTTGCATACTTGTTGGGGCTGTCTATTGATGGTGAACCAGTTATTGGTGTTACATACACAACATGTGATGCAGTATGTGTCAAGTATTTGGGAAGAGGACCTGATTCAGGGTACACCAGTGGGGGGATGGTGAAGCTTAGCTGGTTGAAGGAAAGCTTCTCGCATTGTCCTGAGGATGCCTCAACTGAAGATGTTGAGCGCCATACTCGTGCCTATCTTCTCTATCTTGTTGGTAGCACAATATTTTCAACCACAACTGGTAATAAAGTCCCTGTGATGTACCTTCCTTTGTTTGAAGATTTTGAGGAAGCAGGTAAATATGCATGGGGTGCAGCTGCATTGTCATTTTTGTATAGAGCACTTGGCAATGCCTCGCTTAAATCTCAGAGCACGATTAGTGGATGCTTAACCCTCCTGCAGGTGAGTCTTAGTTTGGTGGTTGTCTTCTGCTGTTCAATTTTGATAAAAAGATAATATAGTCAATAAACAGCCTTCTTGGGAGACTTTGTAGCCTTGTAGCCTTACTTTAAACTCAATAGATGCATCATTTTATGATTCATTTTTGTAGTGCTGGAGTTATTATCACCTTAATGTTGGCCGGCCAAGGCTTAACCACGACCCAATCCATGAGTGTTTTCCTTTTGTTCTCCGATGGAAAGGGAAGCAAAGCAGTCCAACGGCGAATCGTGATGTAGTTTTCTATCGCAAAGCATTAGACTCTCTCAAGGAAATTGATGTAAGTTTCTGAAAATAGATATTAACTTGGGAACCTAATCCTTGTCTCATCTCACTCGATCCGTGACCAGTGAAATCTTTTTGCCTAGGTTGAGTGGTGTCCTTACACAAATATTAGCCATACCGTTATTCCTCCAAATATTTTGAATAGTCTCATTCTTGGGCGATCAAAGACAATGCTGATATGTTTTGACAAGGCGGAAAGGCACCTTCCAGATCGCTGCTTGAGACAGTTTGGCATGAATCAAACTATTCCGGAGGATGTCCCAAAGTGGGAGAGGAAAAGCCGTGGAGTTGATGGTGGCATTGATCTCTCTTTGAAAATGGAATCAGAGCTTAATGAATGGTTGCGCCGTCGACTTCATATTGTTGAGGCCGAGGAAGATGTTGAGGAAAGTGAATACATGCAGTGGTACTTGAATATAACTCGTAAATTGGTTGGGAGGCCTATACCAATCTCCTCCGAGTTTCAGATGATGGTAAGCTTCAGAAAACAGAATGTATGCCAAATCAATGACGGTAATTAATGCATTGACGTTTGCAACAGATCATTGATTCGCTCTCTCTCTCTCTCTCTATCTATCTCTCTCTCTCTCTCTCTCTCTCTCTGTTCCAAACTTGAAACAGCTTCTTACCTCAAAGTTGTGTACTTAAATGGGTGTGCTATCATTTTCCTGAAGCATCTGAACTAAGTTTTACCTATTGTGATTCATTCAAATACAGAGCACAGCCCTAAGGGACATCGCCTTTGTGGCAGATTCTCTTTCAACTCGTGGGATGGATGATGAACAAATTCAAGCTGTGGCAAGAATTAGGTATGTTGCACATGAATGCTTGAGGGACCAGGTTGCAATTACAGTGGCCAATATGCAACCTGAAGTGGTAAAAAGAGTGAGAGGAAAGGAGAACGTAAGGAGGAAGAGTATGGGAAAAAGGAAACGAAAAGAAGATGAGAATTATAGCTCGCCTCGCTTAAATTCTATGGCTGGTCGTTTACTCTCGTATCATCATAATACTGAAAATGAGATTCATTCAGTGACATATGCCATACGTCGGGAGACAGATGACGACGTCTTGGCATCCCCGGCAGATGTCAAAGTTGATGATGAAGACTTTTGTGAGACTAATGAAGTTGATGACTCCCACTTTCGGCGCGTAGCTCAAGAGAAAGGTGATGATATTGGTGAGCCGAAAGAGGAAGTCGACATAAGTGCTCCAGAGCGGCCATATACAGCTACCGAGGCGGTTCAACAGTCCCCTCTGGAAAATAGTGAGGATATTGCGCGGCAGGTTGAGGCCCGTTAGCCAGGTCCGATGCGGTATGCTTCACGCCTTTTCCATTGTCATATGGTATTAGCTCCCTTTGTTTTCATGCTTGGCATTCACTTGCATTTTTTCTTCTTGCAGGCATCTTAGTTCTACCATGAGGGAGAAAGCAACCAATTTGTGTTTCTCTGGAGCCTAGGGGTATGTTTCTTGGGAGCCTCTAGGGGTAATATATTCAGCTTCTTAGTTACCTTTTTTACGCAATGTTGGTTAGAAATTAGGTGGTGACCAAAATTACTTCTGTCTCCTTGTAGCTTATTAGTTGGTGTAAGTTCATGAAGTGACTGAATATGATTCTAATTTATTCATCCTTTAATGGGAAAAGTCACAAAGTTGTTCCATCAAAATCTTATTGGTCACTATTCCATTTTTCCTTTTCCATTTTCCCAACACAATGAATTGGCCACTCCTTCGACCATATCACTGTTGGAGCTAGTGCTTGCACCTCCCTCCACTAAGCACGCAGCACCGTTGGAGTTTTTGTTTTAATCACCCACTGACGATGTAGTATTTTTCTTTTCTTTATTTTGGGAGAATTCAAGATATACTGCCGAAAATGCTTTGCAATGAAAGCGAAGGTTATTATTGAATCAAATTTTTCTCCCAACAATTGTTTGGTTGTGGCAGAGTTGATGTGACAACGAATGAAACCCAAATCAAAAGAGAGGGAACTGACTATTTTCATTTCAATTAATACACAACAAATTACAACAATGAAGCAACAATGATATTTGTACTAGTTTTAATCTGTGTAGGATTACATTATACATAAGCCCAGCAACCTTTTGAGGGGTCGTCCAACCAATCTAAAAGAATAACTTAATACACAAATGTACAGAAACAAAGTGGGGAAAGTGAGACACAATCCTGTAACTCATGCCATATACATGCAAACCGCAGCTAAAGAGCTCACACAAAAAAATAAGTTGTGGTACATAAAAGTTTCAAGCTGCTGCCGTTGTACACAAGATACAGCGCAGTTTTTGAGCATCAGAAGGGTTAGCTTCGTCGTCTTCATCAACATCTCCATTCTCATATTCATAGTACGCCAACTCATCCTCGGAAATGGGTTTCGGCTCTCTCTTGGATGTAGTAGAGACAGTTGATTCCATGAGACATGTGGCATGGTAACCATGAGAGCAAAAGAATATGACGATGTTCACATCCTGTATGGGGAAGGGGTCGAAACACATGCAACACCTTCCACCACCCCTCGTTTTTGACTTGATTTCCATGGATGTCCTACTTGGAACTCTACGTATTGACCCAGACATTTTACTCTCTTCTCTTTTGGAACGTGTTTCATTCTCTTCATTGCTAAAGCACATGCCGCGTCTTGCTTCTTTGAAACATTTGATCAAGAGGTTCACTTTATCCGTCTGCCACATCACCCAGTTAGTAAGTTCAACAATTTAGTCTAATTTAGTATCACTGGAAGCACAGATTGGTCAACAAACCTGCAGAATATCATTACAACCATGTCGAAGAGACGTTTCTGTTCTGTAGTCTGTAATAATTTTAACCAGCCGGTCTCTCAGCCTAAATACGAGGGCAACAAACAAAACCCCTCGGGCTATGTTAGTTGCAAGGAGGAGATACGACGGGGCAGAAGAAAATGTAGACCAATTAAAAAGAAAAAAACTAACCATGAGATAAAGGCAAATCAAACCTTTATTTCAGTTCTTTGTTCAATTTAACGAATCATTTTGTTTAATAATGTGCCATATTTGGCTATCTTAATCAAACACTTCAAAGGCCAGTAAGCTTGAAAACTCACCGAGGTATCTCCAAACCTTCAGGTAACATCTTCACAATTCGTAAAGGATCAAGATTTCCTACTGTATGCTCTAGTAATACACCTACCTGCCAATGAGAATACAGAATGCTTGACAAATCCAAAATAAAAATAAATCAAAATGAAATATCCACACTTTTATGACCCCCAAAAATAAGAAAAGACATCACAGCTTACCATTTCTGGTTTATTGAGACATTGCTTTATCAACTCTTCCCAGAGTTCATCATCATGCTGCATACTTACAAACTCCACAGCCTAGTACAAAGAACATAACATCAGTAAGTTTTAAAAAGAAGAGATTATTAACAACCATGCATATAGAAGGAAAATGATTCTTGCCTCTTCAATGTCACCCAGATTATTAACAATAACTACGAGAGCTTGTTTCGCATTTCCCATTCTTCCCAGGATGAAAACTTGCTCTCTTAACAGACCTCTTTCTGCGCATATTTCATAAGCCTGATAGAATTTGACTGTCAGCAAGCAGAAACACTCAAACTGCCAGGAATACTAGAAGAATATTCTCAAAGACCTTTTCAAGTGTGTAATGCTGACTACTGCGTAGAAAAGGAAGAAGCATCTTCGGATCATAATCAGCATAGAGCTCAACCTATTGAAATGGCAAGGAAAATAATGGCGTTAGGGGTCTACAAACAAACAAGTATACATGCACTTCCAGAAGAGAACTTAGTTAAAAAAAAAATAGACACAGTAATACAGCAAAAGATGAAGGGTCTTTTTTTCCCCACCTTGTTTTCCTTTTTATTAATAATTTTCAATATAAACATAAAAGGAATACGTAAAAAATGTAATAAGAGCACAATTAAAAGATCAAAACTGGCAACCTCACATGGTTACTCATAATAACAAAGAGAGGATAGAACTTCAAATGTTGTCTTCATATAACAGCAGCGAGCCTTTATCCCAGTACGCAGGGTCGGCTAAACATGTCTTCTTTAAGAAACATTGACGCTCAGAACTCTCTCAAATATAATTGAAAAAAGAACTCTTTCTTAAACCCTCTATTGCTTAGGGAACTGTACTACTATCCAGGCTCCACTTTACAGCTTATACAATATTGTGGAACTCAAAGTTGGTTTACTCACCCCATCTACTCAGAATGGAGTTAATGTTATTGAGTTCAGGAGTGTTCTATAAGCAGAGCAGCTGGAAAACCGTTCAATAATTGCATATACTAAGTATTATGCTTGTTGGGAATGGATCAAGTGCCAGTCACCTCAGCATGATTACATGATGCAAATAAAAGATGTTTCTGCCTTTAATCCAAGGATGAGTAATTACTTTAGGATACTTCTGTCTCCTACCCAGACCCCCACCCTATAACTTCCACCACCACCACTGCTAAGCAGGTGGAAATCCCATAAAACTAACAAAAATTGAATAATGAATCCAATAGGACTCACGGACACATTTCTAAGTTATGACGGAGGCCGTTTCCCAAAATTCATGCTCTTTCGAAATGATTATGATATTCAAGTCAATTGGATCCATTCAAATGAAAAATATGACAATCTAATGTGAAAATGCCACATCAACTTTGGACAAACAAATTCTCTCTGTGATACAAGGGCCTTATGAAGGGAGTCTTGAGCCATAATTTCCAGCCTACTTTTGGATTGATGGTCAATATTGATGTAGATGCAGGCTTCCATGTAAATGTACAACGAATAGGAAATACTAGCTGAAGCACATCCTAACACTAATATCCCTATTCAAACTTTGAATCATCAATTGTCTTTCAATGAGGAAGCACAGAGAGTGAGGGAGGAAGATACTAGAAAGCAACTAAAACCCAAACAACTTAGGTCCAATATACTACGAAGGAATGACAGTTGCGTAGCTGCACATGTAAAGCAAGTTTCAATAAAACATATTTTCAAAGCTTTGGAATCAATCATTCTCCAAACCTGCATGTCATGGTAATCTCTTCCAGCATCAGAGTTGGCCACAAACAGTGAGTGAAGATATAAATGTAGAAAGTATCGGTAGTCACATTTGTCCTTCGCAGCAAGAAGCTGAGAAACAACTTCTGAAGGAGGCAAGAGGTTGATGTGTTGGTTCAGCAATGAAATTGCACGTTTGCAGTCTATCATCATAAGTTGAACAACCTAATTTCATGTGAAAGTACCCATTCTCAGATTGCATGTATTAGACCAGTTGAAAGAAACGGAATCCAATGTCTTAATGTGATTAGATCTAAACCATGATCCATATGGAACAAGTCATAAAATGATTCAGCAGAGTTACCAAAAACGCACCTTCTCACGAATGGAATCATGCAAATTATGCTTTTCAAAGAAATCGAATATATCTGGCTTCATAATCTGTAAAAGTAAAAAAGGAAATCAAACACTTTAGAAGAAATGCTCTCAAGAGAGGTGCACACACATAGGAAACATGTTCGATAGATACATACAATCTCGTAGGAGTAAGCCAAAGCACTTACATCGGCATAACACAAAAAAGCTTTCTCATACTGTCCATCTATCACATATAGCTCCGCAAGTGCCTGGTAGTTAAAAGTTAAGGATAGATTAACAAGGATCATGCATTTAGGTGACCGATGAAAACTCTAAGACTAACCTCTTTGAGAGGATTTGTCATCGATGAAGTATTAAGTTGAGGCTCTATAGCCGAGATAACAGACGGCGCAGAGTAGATTACAGGTGGCCATGATCTGATAATTGACAGAAGATTTTCGTGGAAAGAAGGGTTTGTAGCCAAAGCCACCAGAGCAACCTGTATAGAAAAATAAAAAATAAAAAAATAAAAAAAGTAACCCACTTCAACAATAAAATTTAAAGTTCAAGAAATAAACCATATCGTAGGTAGCTAAAAGAAGTTTAGGAAGCAGCCAACCTCATAAACAGTGTCTCGCAATCTTGGATTCTCAGATGGTATGTACGGAACCAATACTGGAAGTTGGCGCAAGTGAGCAAAATGAAATACCCACCTGTATGAAGCAGCCAAGGTGAGCCCCCAGAAAGAAGCCGCTCAAGAAAATAAACAATATTTTGAAATACCTTTCCCATGCCGAAGCTGATCCCCTTAGTAGTTTGGGACATAAAGATGCAGCTTCTGCATATTTTCTTTCTACTATTAGATGGTCAAGATATCTTGACCCCACCTGATCAAGAATAGGAAGTCAGAAAAAACTAGTTTGCCATAAGTCCACCCATGGAGGCAGCTTGCATAGCTATAAGGGGCTATTTCACTTGACACTCAATGCAAAAGTTATGGATCTATATGTCAGCTCATTTTATACAAAGTGTAACGTAGCAGTACATTTTTCTACCAGGTATTTTCAATTAGACTTAATAAGAATGTTTGGACCAGAATTGAGGTGCATACTTCAAGAGCAACGGTTATTAGCTATTAACTAAAGGCAGGAAAAGACAGTTGAGGCTGTAAGACTCTTTCTTTGGGACAAGCAAAACATATAATATGATATGACAGCAGCAGAAACTGGAATAAAGTGCAGCTGGATAAAAATGTAAATTATGAGGCCAGGAAACGATTGCAATATCTTCTTTCTAGCCATGACATGCCAAGGTGTTATTGTTGCTTGGTAAGCAATGAAACTATGAGTTATCTGCCTAGCAAATGAAGCCAGAACCCCAAAGAGATGTAATTTTAGCAAAAATAACTTGATTAGCTGTTATCCTGAATACTGCTGCTTCCAAACAAAAACCTCTACCCATTAATTGCACTTCACTAACCTATTCACATAACTTTCCATTTCACCCATGTGCTTTATCAATTCGTTGGCTAAAATCTCAGGTAACTCCAAGGAAAATGAAAACAAAAAAATTATCTGCCACAGTACATAAAATTATTACAAGATAAAACAAAACAGCTTCTAGATTAGCAAGCGGTGGCCCTCATTACAGCAGCAAAACAGGAATTAATGTTACATAAGTACCTCATCAAGAAGTTCACTGCGACCTTGACCAGCTTCAACTGCAGCCAAGGCTTTTTCATGCCATCCATGTTGAAGAAGCCAAGCAATGTGGTCTTCTGCATCCCTGTAATAAATGGAATATGTACTTGCAACTTCATTGTGTCTATGCATGAAATCCAACACAGCACAGAGAAACAGAAACATGACACGTAAAAAATAGCAATATGGAGAACAAAAAAACATTCTTTTTCCCCTTTCAGAAGGATGGTTTGAAACTTTTTATGTATCAGAGTTTATAGATCTGATCAGAGATTACATCAGAGTCCAGGAAACTGGGGACTAGACAGATATGTTCAACTACCAGGGGAACAGTTAGCATATTTCTCTTCTTACTGATGGCCTGTCTATCCAATATCAGTATTACTCTCTTTCCCTTTCCATCCGCAAACTGGAATCATAAGAGTTTGAACACAGACAACCAAGAACACCATTCAAATACTATAAGATACACAGCAAATAGCCTGCCGAAACTTATTCCGTTGTAATTATCAGGTAACCAATATGATAGGAAGCTGAGCAACATATGTTAGCTTCTAACTTCATCTTCATCCCTAACCCAATGGGAATTACCTTTATCTATGACATCATTAAAGAGGTTCTCTATCTTAAACAGTTGACATTATCCAGTCGTGATAACAAGCCCAGCAAATAAAGACAGCCAGTAAGACATCACATTCTGACAATGGAAAAAGGCCACAACTTAATGCAAACAGTGGTGGTATGTTCAGGTGAACCCGTAGCCTGAGACCCATAGAGTGCAAAACTAAGTGAAATAGTTTTATCATCATTAAACTAAGTGATAAGCATGGCTGAGTCCTCAAAACATGGACATCAGAAATAAGAAATACTAACCGAGGCTTCGCAATGACAACATCCTTTGGCGACACAATATAATACAGAGGTTCATCACCAGCAGCCCACTGACCTCCAGCATAGCTGCTGCCTTTGTTCAAAGCACATTATCATCACTATAAATATCCAGGTCGAATAAACTGGTATAAAAACAAAAAAAAAGGAAAAAGATACATTTTTCATTACACAAACACATGTATGTGTGGAGCTGAAAAGTTTACCTGAAAAGGGAGCATGAGCTAGAGAATAATCTTTTGCTCTGTAATGCTCATAACCATGTACTGGTAAAGCATCTGTTGCAAGCTCATCATTATTCCATGTGACTACCCTCACTTCAGGTCTCTGAGCGTTTCCCTAATCGTAAAGGGTTTTAAATTCAGCTAACACAACTTTTTATGTTATTATAAGAGGACTTATTACCACATAATGGAACTTGTAAGCCAATTAACATGACCAACTAACGACTTACGAAGACTTCTATTCCCTATAATTTATGAGAAGAAAATGAATCTTACACCTGGCTCAGGGAACAATGCTAAGAATGATATTGCAATTTGGAAACGGAAGATGAAACTTTATGATGAGAGGTTTGTGTAATGTAAACATTCTTTGACTTCATTTACCTGTTTCTCACATAATTAGTGTTTCCAAATTTATGATGCATCACAAAGAAGCAAAAGGGATGATCGGGACAAAAACCATAAAGCAGGCATTGAGCGAATTCAGCTTATTTTGACAAGTAAACCAGCCACCGATAGTAAAATCTAGCGAGATAGGCACACAAAATCATAATGGAAAAGAATTACAAGGAAGTCCTGAGCAACTAGCGCAAAATATCAAAACCAACTTCTAGAACTTTGAAGACACATTAATATTGAATGCTTTGTTAATCATCAGCTACTCCATATTGGCATTTTGATGAAATTTCCAGTTCAATAAGTAAACAATTCTGCTTTGTTGATTGCTTCTTTTTCCATTATGCGTTCACTCTTCGAGGTTGGAGCACTGAAAATAAAATCTTCATAGAAAGGATAATGATCTTCTCAGCAGAGAGTCAGATTTGAGCATAGCCTGTATAAACTTTCATCCATGACCAATAAACATAAACTTAAACACTAAGGCTGCCTAGAAGCGGGAATATGCACTCAAAGTTGGATAACTGAGAAAGTAAAAAGGACGGACTGCACCATATACAAAGATGGATGATGAAACAACTACCTGGCGGGATGAGACACTGTTGTTAAAATCCTTGTCTCCATTTTCCTCCACAGGAATATATGCTAGAACCACCAACGAATCACCAAAGGGAGCAACACCTGAAATGGAGTATGTAGTGTGAAAGGATGCCACAATGTCCACCCTGTTAAGGCTAGACATTGGAATATGGTTATACATCCCATTAGTGCCCTTGTTCTGATTTGTTCTTATCGAAGCAATTTTTACATGGTTTCCCCAACCAATCACCAAAAGACTGTCATCCTGAAAAGTAAGAGTGAAGAAATGTAACACACTGCAGCTTTTGAGCTACGCACATACGACCACACATAAATCTAGAACATGTAGGAGTCGCGAAGACAAGGGGCCACAAAGAGAGCAGAACCGTCAGAGAAACCAAAGAACCCAATGGGGCCAGTTGCACTATTTTTCCAATAAATTCATTACTAACCTGCCATACTAAGTGAGGACGCAAAATCTCAGGGCGAGGGCTACTTCGAGGTTTTTCTATGAAAGTAACGCATTGATCATTGGCGGAATCATAAACTTTTACTCCAACATCATTAGCCCAAGCAATAAGACTACTTCTCCACTTTACTGCGTGAATTGGACCTTCACCAGAGTGCAGGAGCTACAAAACAAAATGGTCTTACATTAAAATTCATATCCAATATTTTTATTTTTATCTTTATCAATTTTCCTGGAGTACACCTCGAGAGATGTATCAATGCAATTCAACAAAAAATTAAGACCTGATCACGATAGCCAATCCATTTCTTCATGTTTAAATTTAAGCGACCATCTAGACCACCAGCAACAAATCTTCTTGATGATTTCTTTTCATAGTCTGGATCTAAAGCAATTGCCTTCATGGGGCGAGGATAATTAAATTGCAATCTCTCATCAGAAAATAAGCTATTTATCACAACTGACTTATCATCTGAGCAGCTTCCAACAAATTCACCTTCTATATCAAAGCAAAGGTCATTGACAGAAGCCGTGTGTGCACGAAATTCCTTAATCTGTCAACCATTAAATAATCAGCACAACTTATATTTTCATCACAGAAAAAGGAAAACATCAGTAGTAACACAATCTTAGATATTGCATGCAGATTACAAGCTCATTACGACATCATCCTATTCTCAACTACATTGGTAAAACTTCGAAGGTAGAAGCTACTACCTCTATTTCAGCCAAATCTGCATGCTGTAACCTCTGGTTAAAGGGGAAAACCCAATAATTTGAAAACAGTTCAGTATCAAATTTTTCTAGCATATTGCTAAAAAAGGTTTACATTAATGCTAAAAAGATTACTCTTCTCAATTAAATAGAACAGAAAGAATTTGCTTACTAAACACAGAGGCATTAGAAGAGCAGAGCAAAAGTAGAAAACTATCATCCGGTCATTATCAAGTTCATGAAACACCATTATTCGGTTCCATGGGGCATGGGCCACTATGGCACATCAACTTCAATGTAGAGACAAACTGCTAGATTTAGCATGACAAAACAAAAGAAGTTGTGGATGAAAATAATTGACAGAAGCTGCCTAGAGAAGACTAGAAAATAGAAATTGATGCTTAACTTGACATTTTAAACCACTGATTATTTGTACAGAGTCTAGAACTGGGAGTATCCTAGGAACCCTATCAGTAAACATTTGTAATCGTAATCTCTAATCCACTAATGTAAGAGAATTACCATGGATATTACATCACTCGACATAGGCAAACAGAACTTGACGAAAGATCAGTAAAACAGCAAATAGAAAATGGATGGACTGCAATCTCCATTTCTCGCCTTAATAATGAAAATATAATTAGCATCAAGCATCAGGAGTCAGGACAATAATTCTTCATTTTGGCTTTTCATTCAACCAATTTGTTTGGTTTCATTCTAGATAATCCAACATCGCAAAAAATAAGGGGAGACATTCTTGTTTGTAAGCAGGACAAGCAATTAGTGAGTTTTTTAATGAACATTTCTTATTCTTTTTCAGTTAAGGTTCAGAAAATTATATGTACACATAGAAATATAGATTCATGAGTTTAGTTAAAAACTTTGATTGAAAATTGTTTAATTTCACAGACAATCCCCCATTAATCCCTGACTAATATGCAAGAAGGGAAACGAAAGTCTAAGGCAGCGCAATTTTTTATTGCCAACTTTTGTGTTTCAGAGGTGGAGATGTCTAGCTATGTAAAGGTTCTCACTTATAAGGTATACAATCTAATCCAAGCCATTATAGCTTCTAGTTTCGGCAGTCACTGTCCATCACCAGCCTTTCTTTTAGTAATTTTTATTTTGTAAAAGACAATATTTTTCAATCTCTAAAAAACAACTAATAACAAACCAGACAAATAAACAGAACAAAGCACCAAGCTGTAGCTCCTCATACGTTGTTAATTGAAAACTCCCACCACTAACCACAAAACTCTAGCTCAGTAAAAACTGATTAATTCCTACTGTTCCAGCTTTAAGAAGTCTGCAACAACTAGTAATACAGTTATAACAAGCGCACATGCGCTTTTCAGTAATTCTAAACCCCAAAAATCAAAATTAAAAAATTGAGAGCTGAAATCGGAGTAGCCAGAAAGAAAAAAAAAATGGTGGACGGAGAAGCAAACTTACGAGATTGCCAAGGAAATCGAGAATATAAACAAAGCCGGCATGAGTTCCGAGTGCGATCATACGCTCAGCCACGGCGATGCAGGTGGCGGCATCGGAAGCGAGAAGCGAAGGCACACTCCCTCCCATTCTCTGATACTTCAACCTCGGCTCTTCCTCTTCCTCCTCCTCCTCCTCCTCCTCCTCATCTCCTTCCTCTTCAGCTTCCGAATCATCCTCTACTTGTTCCTCCTCCTCTTCTCCTTCTCTCTCGTCATCGCCATCGACGCCATTCTCGGAGGAATTTAGAGGCATCGTTTGCAGTAATTTAAAGGAATCTATTAACAAACCCTGCGGAGATTTCCCAAATCAAAACGAAGATTCGAGCTGTTGAATTGAAAGAAGGAAGGAAATCCGATAATAATAACTAAATTTGGCTTTTATGTTTTTCTCTGTTATGATTGGGAAATTAATAAAAATATTAATAAAGAATGCGATTTAATAATGAGGGAAAGAACAAAAGGGTGGCGACGTGTGAACTTTATAAGAAGAGGGCGCTTTTCTTTTTTTCGCAATTGTTTTCGTATTTCTGGACTCGTCTTTCTTGTCTATAAGCCTTATTTTATCGCTTTCTTCCGCTTTCCTCAAGTCCCCCCTCTCTAACTACTAAGTTGTCGATTTGTACTTGGAATAAAATTGTTGTACAAATGTAAGATTTGTCGACTTGCTGCTTAATTTGTTACTCTTGGGGGCGGGGTTTTAAAAAAACTAGAGATAATAATTGCATGAACTAGATGTGCAAGGAACACACGGAGCTGAGTTCGATTCTAAATTCCTTATCAACATCTCCTTAATTAGTGTTGAAAATAAAACTAAGTTATTAGTTGATTGAGCGTGTGCCCTCTAATTATATTATATTTTAAAAATTATAAAAATATAAATTTCAGTAAGAATAAGAAACGAAAATAAATCGTTAAAGAAAAATCGTAATTTTCTATTTCAACCATGATTAACATTTCAATTTCAGATTAAAAAAAGATGAATAATAAGCAAAAAAGAAATAATGGAGATCCTCTTATACGGAAAAAAAAAAAAAAGTTGTATATAAACAACCATACAAAAAAAAAAAAAATTTTCTTATTATTGAAATAAATATAGAGCTTGTTTTAACATGTAGTGGGTACGTATTTGCACCTCAACTTTTTCTTTCTTTTTTCAAAAATGCTCATATTCTGCTATTCATATATTCAAAAATCTATTCATTTATGTTTGTATGCTTTGTGAAATTTGATTTTTAACTGTATCTTCTCTCTTTTCTCTTCTCTTCTCTTTTTCTTCTCTTCTCTCCTTCTTGTTCTGTTCTTTATTATTCATCATACTATATTATAATTACTGAATAATTTTAGAGTTTGGTAGTCCTTCCCACTCATTTATTTAGTTAATTATTTTTGCATGCAAGTTATCAATTTTTTAACCCCTCATTTAATTTAGTCAAAAGAATTTTTGATTAAATATTTTCTCTATTTATTTCATTATTATTTCACTTATTACTCATTATCTTAATGATAATAAATTACTCACTTATATCTAATTTTATAATAATAAATGGTCCTTTATTATAAACAATACAATGACATTCGATCTCCCTTCTATTAATTTTTATTTTTAATATTACAAAGAAATCATTTCTCATTATTAGGTGAATTTGATCGGTCTAAAAATGATTTTGATGATTCTAACCATTAATTTTTATTTTTAACAATGCAAAAATAATTTTCTATTATTAGGTAAATTTGATTGGCCTTTAAACGGTTTCGGTGATTCTAACCCCTCTAAATTCCTAATGCATTTTCTTCTTCTCTTCTTCTTCTTCTTCTTTTTTTAATATAATAGGTTTCTCAATGGTAATTTAGATTTTTCCATAACTCAAAAGAATATTAAAAGTCACGTAACGTAAATTTATATAATTCAAAAGAGTGTAAGATTTAGTCACTTTTATTTTTTTTCTTTGAAATATTTACTTTTATCTCTCAATCTCGAGTTTATAAGAGATTATCATCTTTTTATTGCTCATCTCCCTCTTTTTCTTTGCAAATTTAGGTTTTGTTTTTGAAATTTTTTTCTTCTTTTTTAAAGTTGTTCTCTTTTTTTTTTTGGTGATACAGAAATTTGATTTTATTTTATTTCTCACTGGTCTTGCTCATTTTTTTTTCAAAATCAGAATACTATATATCACTTTTGTTGAAATAAGAAGTGACACGTTTTAGTGATATTATTTTATTCTCATAATACGAAACTATAAACTTTTTACTACTAATAAATTTATTAACATATTTTGTAGATAATATATGAGACGTAATGTAATTTACCATTTTAATTATTAAAATAAATTCTTTTATATAATTTACACTAAGTCATTATACATAGTGTATGCGCGAAGCGCGTCTAATCCATCTAGTATATTATAATTGCAGAATAGTTTTGAAGTTTTGGTAGTCCTTCACTTTAATTACTACGTATCATTTAAATCCATTTTTATTCATTTACTTTGATTATCACACAGTATTTAAATTTAATTTAATTATCACAATCTCTTTATCTCTTTTACTTACCTCTTGATCTTCTGACTATCGAGTTTCTCGCGAAAGTCTATAAAATATCACGTACGCATGAAGCATGTTCAAACTCTCTAGTGTATCATAAACCCAAAAAAAAGAAAAGAAATGAAAAATACTAAATATGAATTTTTTTTTAAAAAATAACATTTCATTAAAATACCAGACTTTTACAGATACAAACTCAAACAACCTCAACGTTGTCTTTGCCATAACATGGGCACTTTCTACTGCACTTCTACTCACTTTAATAACATTAGATCCTTCTACTGCAGATAAAGTACAACAAATATCATTTTCTAGGCCACTAAATTCATAAGGAAGTCTAGTTAATCCCTTAGCTACACGAACAATGGAGATGCCATATGTTTGGATTTGACAAAAGTGAAGGCGCCTCCTCAGAGCCTCTTCTATACCTCTCAAGCATGCCCGACCTTCAGCAAGGATTGGAGAAGCACAATGAAATACCTCTACGCCATGTGTGATGTACTGACCAGTCCCTGTCAAAATTTTCCAAGCTGCTGTCCCCATTTTGTGAATATCATCATATGCTCCATCTCCCCTGATGATATAATCTACTCTTCGAGGGATTTGCAGTTCTTCTTCTTCTCCAGTATTGGCTTCATGATTTTCCAAATTGTATTGTGGTTGACTTGCTTGTGTTGTTGATTCATACATCCTTGTTTCTTTTTCAGCAAGTTGTTGGACCGTGTTTGGATGCTGAATTATGTGATTCCATATTGCATCATTCCTTGCGAGCCAAATGTGCCACATAATAAGAAAGGAAAGCCTTATAAGTTCTACACTTGGCGCATTGAGGATCCAATCTTCGAGCCAATCACAAAACCTCATGCTACTCCCTTGGTCGAAATCAAAACCAAGGCATCTCCAGGTCAATCTTGGAATGTTGGCAGTTTAAAAATAAGTGTTGGATGTCTTTCTCCTGACCTTCACATCAAACAAGGTTTATCAGTGTGAATGCCTCTTTTTGCCAAATTTGCTTATGTGGGCAAAGCATTGTTAATTACGCGCTAGATCATCCATTGTATCTTTGCCGGAACTTTGACATTCCAGAATATTTTCCATGCTTTTTCGCACATGGCGAATGTTCTTGATGTTCCCGGGTGTGATTACCTTCTTTCACTATAATTAATCGCCTCATAATAACCGCTTTTAACGGTATATTCACCTGTTTTTTCTCTCACCCAGATTTGCTTACCACCTTCAAGGCTATTATAGCATGGGACATAAGTCTGCAGAACCTTATTAGCCACTTCTGCTGCAAAAATGACCTTAACCAAAGTCTCATTCCACCTCCTATTGTGTCTAGTAGATCATTAACTTTCAATTCTATATGGTTGCAAAATAAATCTGAATCTTTAAGAGGATTAGACACACCAGGGATCCAGTCTTTCTCTACTCGGATGGACTCCCCATTCACAACCTTCCATTTCAAACCTCTTTGGAGTAGTTGTTTTCCCCATAAAATGCTTCTCAATCCCATGTAGTGTTACGGTTTGAATCACAAACTAGAAACTCTGTCCTCCGTGCATATTTTGCCTTAAATATTTTGGCAAACATGGAGTCAGGAAATTCATGTATTCGCCATGCCAATTTGGCCAATAAAGCTTGATTTATTTCCTTAGCGGATCTCAAACCCAAACCACCTCTAAACTTGGATTTGCAAATGTGATCCCAGGATTTCCAGTGTATTCCTTTCCCTCTTATATCACCATTCCAGATAAAATTTGCAATTGTACTATCCATATGTTTGGTAATGGATGCCGGAAGTTTAAAAGCACCCATCATGTAAATAGGCAGTGAGGAGAGTGTGTTTGGCTAATGTAATTCGGCCAGTCATTGAGAAAGATCTGTTCTTCCAACTCTACAACTTTTCCTTCAACCTTTGGACTATACTTCCAAATAAAATTGACTTTCGCTTCATGAAGTCCGGTGACAGGGCCAAGTATTTTCCAGAATATGCACAATTCCTGATTCTCAGCCAAGACGAGATAAGATCTCGCATAGCTTGCGGAGTATATGGACTAGTCAGTATGGCTGATTTATCAAAATTCACCTGCTGCCCCGAAATCATTGCATATTGATTCAAAATTTCAACAAATGCTATAATATTAGGCTCCGTGCATTCAAGGAAAATTATGCAGTCATCTACATACATTAAATGGGACAGTTTTGGAGCTGATCTTGCTAGTTTAATACCAAATTTGAGAGTTTCAGCTTCTAGACCATACAACGCCAGTGAAAATGCTTGCTGACACAAAATAAAAAGATAGGGTGAAATGTGTCACCTTGCCTCAGACCTCGCTTTGGTGAGAAGTAATTAGAGCACCAGCCGTTGAAACTGATCGAGTATTCCACAGTGCTGACACACCGCATAATTAATTGGACAATCCTTTGTGGGAAACCACACTTCCTGAGCACCAATTCTAAGAAGGACCATGACATTCTCTCATTGCTCATGTCCAATTTTATAGCTGTCAACACTGTCTTACCTCTTTTTTTCAGCATGATGGTCTCAATCGCTTCATGTGCCATCAAGATATTCTCTCCAATGTATCGTCCTGGAACAAAACCATTCTGGTTTTTTGCAATGATTCCACCGAGAGATGCTTTGATCCGATTAGCTAAAGCCTTTGTAACAACTTTGTATTTAACATTGCAAAGGCTTATCGGTCTGAAATCACCTGGAGTACAAGAATATTTCTTCTTCGGAATAAAGATTACAGCTATTTTGTTCCAATCGTTAAACCACTCTCCTTGATTCAGGATTCTCCGCAAACTATCTAGAAGATTATACTTGACATATTTCCAGTATTTCTTGTAGAAGCCAGCTTGGATTCCATCAGGACCGGGTACTTTCCAGGGAGACATGCTTTAAGGCCATCCAAATTTCGTTGTCACTGAAGCTCCTGGCAAGTTCCTTCTGCTGAGAGTCGGATATCTGTGGATGAATTAAATCTTCTATCTTGGTCCTTGTGCTCCAGAGTTCATCGTCATTTGGATAGTTATCCTCATGGACAAAAACAAATTTGAAATGATCCATCATCAAGTTCTGCACCTCTTCTGGACTTTGACTCCAATGTCCTTCTGGATTTTTCAACTCCGTTATCCAGCTCCTGCATTTTTTTTTGGAGGCCCAAGCATGGAAATAGTGTGTATTTCTATCCCCTTCTGTATTCCACTTGACCCCGGCCCACTGTTTCCAGTAGTCTGCTTGAAAATCTAATAATTTCTCAACTTGCTCCTTCAGGGAATCGATTTGTACTTCATTCCGAATCAGACCTTCCCCTTGCTGAAGCTTGGACAGCTTGTTTGTGTACTGCCTTACAGTTTTATCTAGAGCACCAAAAAAAGAATTGCTCTAGTTGGTTAGGTGCTTCAGACTCACTTCTAACAAATGTGAAAGCTTGTCCCCAGTTTCTAGTTGAGCTCCATTATTTTCAGACGAAATCTTGCTAATAATTGCCGTTGCAGCTTCCGTATGTGACTCGAACTTTTCAAATCTCAACCTCTTCTTTGAATTATGCGTGTACGAAGCTTTGAGATTAACCATGATTGGGCCATGGTCTGAAACTGTGATTGGCATGTTCACAACCCCGGCTTGAGTGAAATGTTCAGACCAATCGGGAGAGGCAAAGGCTCGATCAAGTACCTCAACTATTTTCTTGGACCCTCTTCTGTAATTTGTCCAGGTAAAATGGTTACCTGAGTAGGGGACTTCTGTCAAATTTAGCTCCTGCATGAGCTGGAGGAAGTTACTCACGTGTTTCCGAGATCTTGTTTCCACCCTTTTTGTCTTCATGGGAAGTCACTTGATTGAAATCACCCACCATTAACCATGGCAGCAAGTAGGAAGAAGCTATGGCTTTGATCTCACTCCACACTCTGAACCTTTGTTTGGCTTTAGGGTGCCCATAGACAAAGATAGCTCCCCAAACAAAGTCATCCAGCTCTCTGATTCTAACTGCTATCACATAAGCACTAGAATTGATCACTTCCAGGTTAAGGTCACTAGTCCAAAATAAACCTAAACGCCCTGATAAGTTTTCGTTGGACTCTACCAACCACTTCGCAAAATAAGTGCCATCAACCCATCTAGCTCCTGCATTATCGCTAACTAAGAGCTCTTGCAAAAACAAACTACTAGGACTATTTACATTAATGAGCTTTTTCAAAGTTTGAGCTGCAGGTGCACGTTGCATGCCCCTGCAGTTCCATGAAAGGACTCTCATGGCTGCTTGGGTGATTGATTTGGCTCAAAAATGGGACCCCACATCATGGACATTAGTTTTGTCTCTCCTTTTATGTTTTTGCTCACCGGTTGGATTAGAAGACGGTTTTGGGTTGGGCGGAACAGACGAGTCATAAAAAAGCGGGAGTTTTTGAGAAATTTCATAACCCGCCACAAATTCCAATTGCGACCATTGGGATTTTTCAAGTTTGAAAGGAAGCTGACTGACATTTGCCGCCACACCACAATCCTAGTCATTCCAAGTCATGTGGAATAATTACAGACGGACACCTTAATAATTTCATATTGGCACCCTTAACATTTTTGGTTCTTTTCATACCAACAGAAATGTATGTCATTTTAATTGCATCCTTTGAAGTAATGTGGCAAGAAAAAATTGAAGATCAAATTTCCCCTTTCTGTAAATACTTTTTATCTGAGAATGTAGTCCGACTTTGTATTAGTTTCGTATTTACGATCGGATTATCTGTCTATGTTAATTTATTATTGAATTATTGAAAGAGAACGTAGGTAAGTATCTAACGTTAATTATCTTGTCGACATCATGGTATGTATCGTGATCATTTATGTATCGGTTAATTATCCATACGTATCATGAAGATTATGCCAAATGTTCATATTCTTCTCTTGAAACATTCATGAATAACAATTATCATATTCCTTTTCAAAAAGCAATGATCATATTCTTTTTCAAAAAACAATGATCATATCCTTTTCTTGGAATATTCATATCAATTTAATAATAACAAATCCAATTGTTTGAAGTACATTACTACAAATCCAATACTCCATGTTCACACAAATTATTCAAACTATGTTAACTAGCAACTTTCATACTATTCTTCCTAACTTACCATTATGGAGACATTAATGGATTATTGAACAAATTCATCAATTTTGGTCTCGATTTGTTAGACGAACAAATTTTCAATTTATATTATTAAACGTCATTAATTGTTTTTTGTTTTTCTTTGTTTTAGTTTTTATTTTTTTTGGTGAAACTATAAATATATTATTGGGAAGAAGACTTGACAGTCCAATATTTACAACCAAAGTGCTCTATTACATACATATAGGCCTATTTACACTCTACCAGCCTTCTAAGCTAAGAAACAACTCCAAAATTCTTTGTTCTGCTTCCCTGTATGGTGTTTTCAAACATTCCTGTTCTCTCCATTTCACCTCTTTTTTAATGGTCAGCAACACTTGATCACATGTTCTTTCAGTCCCTTTGAAGTTTCTTGCGTTTCGTTCCTCCCATTGGTGATAGATCAGCCCCGCTATTGTGGCATAAAGTACCTTCCTTTTAAGTTGAGTTCTTCCCCAGACTCTAAGGACCATCCTTCTCCAACCATGTTGAGTGCAAGGTAGATTGATCTGGAGCCATTGATTCACTAACTTTAACAGTTCTTTAGAAAATTTTCACTCAAAGAAGAGATGCTCTGCAGTTTCTTGGTCCTGTTGGCACAAAACACAAGTTGGATCCACCTGCACTAACATTTTGTTGAGTCTATCTTTAGTTAATAGTCTCCCCTTCCAACAGAGCCAAGAGATAAAAGAATGCCTTGGTACATTGTACCTAGACCAAATGAACTTAGCTGTAGGGCATCTGTTTACCTCCCCCATCAACCAACTATAGCCACAACTAACAGTATAATTACCAGTTGCTGAATAATTCCATTTACCATCCACTACTGCTTTTTCATCTTTTCCTTTATCTTCACTAATTGTTTCCAGTGCCAGCTGGAGTCTTGCTTATGTTGCAAGCTCCATAGATCACCATCCTTTACATAATGTTCGTGTATCCATTTAACCCAAAGATGATAAGATTTGCTTGCTAAATTCCAAACCTGCTTAAATAGTGCAGCTTCATTCCATCTTTGTGCATCCTTTATGCCTAACCCACCTTCTTTTTTTGGTCTGCATATAAGAGAAGAAGAAAGGTCTGCTACTGAATTGGTGGGTATAATGAAAATCAATGTGGAAGGTAAGCAACCGACGGTAAAAGGTTTTGCTGCAATCTGAAAATAAGGTTGGATGCTCTGTTTTTACTAGTGGTTACAGTGTTGATGATGAATGTTATTTTAGTTTTAATGGTGTTGGTTGTGTTGTTGAAGAAATAATTGTCGGTAGCAGGAAAGTTATTTTTTTTTTTTTTAGTTTAGTGTGGTCTGATTATTGTGCTGTTGTGTGGAAGAGTGGGATGAGCTTCCGTCGAAAGCAATTATCATCTCTTCAGTAAATGTAGTCGTAATGTGTAGGTTACGGAAACAATGTTGTAATTAGAAGTAGTACTGTGTAGGTTAAGCACCTCTGGTAGTCGTTTGACTATTTTCTTGTAAAATGTCTTGCCTAATCAATTGTTCCATTAATCCTTTCGATGTAGCTGAAGTTGAATACCAATTGGAAATGAACGTGTATCAGATATCCACTTGTTCTAAAATGTGCATCGGTATTCAGATTCCCGAATTCATAAATTACATAAATAGATCCACAAAAGACTGTAAAATTGTAAATTACAGCAACTGTTATTCGGTACAGCAAATACTCTGAATATTTCACTTGGAGGCTGAGTTGACATGGAAGGACAAAAAGCTACTAATCATCCAGAAAAAAATATTGTACTGGGAGGACAAAAAGCTAATAATCAACCCTAAAATACATTTTCTTCCAAAAAACAGTTCCACAATTGACCCTGATAGACAGACATTTCCATGAGGTAAAACTAAACTAGCTGATCTTGAAGGCAACGGTTCCAACAAATTGAAGTAGAGCAACGTCGAGTTCGAGAGTCAATTTTGTGCCAAACCGGATGTCCTGTAAATTCTTGAAGAGCTGCCAATCTCCACGGAGATTCATCATTCTGAATTTGAGCTTCCCGTAGAATGTGTCATCACCATCCGGCTCTAACTCTATCATGACATGAGTGTCTCTGTAGGTGACAGAGGCAGTGGTTTTGTCCTGTAAGGCATGCCAGTGGACGAAACTCCTGGGGATGGGCTAAACATAAAAGAGCAAACAAATTTGACAAAGAACTATAAGAAAGGTGGCACTAGAAACGTTGTTAAATAAGAAATAGCTAAAGAAAAACTGGATTAGAATACTAACCAATTTTCCAGTCGACAAAACGTCATCATCGAAAACAGATTCGAAGGTGTTGTGTTTAATGGTAGGCAGAAATGTGCAGGGTAAGTCGTCATCACCTGGTTGATCTAACTCAATGAATGTAAAAAATTCATGTAAAATGCAAGCATAATTGAAGTAGGAAATAAAGTAATGTAATTCCAGTACTTACTAGTACCAAGATCAGACATGCCATCTAAACCAAATAACTCCATTCCATTACCATCGAAGACAGAGGCAGCAAAACTATGTTGTCCTTTGTACGTGAAAAGTACTTTTTTGGCGTTCGCAATCGTAAAAGTCTTTCCATTCATCACCCTGAAACACGACTACACTCTGATCACCAATCAAACCCACATCGAATGTGTGTGTGTGTTGCCATGACAAGTGACTATAGACACCATATTCATTTCTAATGCAATAAAACTGCTGTAGCGCCTGGCAATAACCTGTGAATTTGTATATTCGTAAATGATTAGTTTAGGTGTAGAGCCAATGATGAAAATTGTGTAGTTTGTGCATACAGATGTGAAATAAGAGTGGAATTTCTAACCCCATGCTCACAGGAAGCGTGCTTAAATTCCATCAAATAACTGAGACTAGCATAACCCACAACACGTTCAGGCATCAATTTTTCGCATCCACCTCGACTGAAAATTTTAACTTGAAAATTGTAATTTTCCAAATAAACTAGATGCATAAAATTTCCATCTTCGATTCCCAGACTCTGCATCAACCCTTGAAGGCTTAGTCCCCCAAGTAAAGCACAGCCTTTCTTGGAAATTCTTAAATCAACTCTAAATTTTCCCATATTGGAAGTAGATAGTAGTATCTGAGGTAGGACGTAAATGGAAAAATTTTTCCGGAGACAACTCCTAAACAACTACAACAAGAAAAAACAAGACGGAGGAAAAAATAAGATTTGCTTCCAACTGAAAAAGTATGGAATTCAATAATTTCACATTGGATAGTAAAATGATTCGTACTAACCCATGAGCCTGCCAATCCGTTGGGACTTGAATCAAATATTGGAATTCATCATAAGCGATTGATGGACTTCTCATCTACGTGCACAGGAGGATTAAAATGTTAAGAGTAATCGATAAGACCGTTGAATCGATTACTACATAGGAAGAGGGGGGGGGGGGTGGAGCAAAACCAAGTAATAATCATAAAATTTTTTCCATTCATCACCCAATCCTAATAGTGTGAGGCAAACCAATTACTTGTTGAGAATGAGTTTCTACTCCTTCCGGATCTTTAGTAATTTTGGATTTTTTTTTTTATGTGACGTCTCCCCTTCCCGTTTAAATTCCCATGGCCAAGGTCTGTAATGTCTCCCTCTCCCTCTCGTGATCGGCGTTGCTTGAGAGATTCAGACTTGAGAGCTTTTTGAAGGACAGGGGAATAAAGGGGACTTTGGTTGGGAACTGAGTTTATGAATGTCTAAAAAGAATGGAACATTAATGGTTGATGGGATTTTTGCACGGTATCAGTAGCAGGCAAAGCAGATACATATCCTATATTATCGATGAGCACACGATTTGGTCGTGTGGCCTGGTGGAGGCAATCTATTATGTTGATGTGGAGGTCCCATGTTTGACTCCGAGTCTTCACTTTTTTTTGCGGATATATTATACTCCATGGGGAGAAAGTCGCGGTCAGGGTTCTTAAAAGCGGTGCCAGAGTTCGTTTCTTAAATAAGAGTCGGGAAGGGGGTTGTTAAAAGTCAAACGTTGTTGTATTTGAAAAGCAGTCGGATTGAATTAATATATATCTTTTGTTACCAATGGATAAACTAAGTGCTGGTTTGGTGTGATGGAGGTATTGAAACATGTTAACATGGAGGTCACGTGT